TCAGTCCTTCAGAATGAGCAGAGGTATATTTAACATAGACTTGCAGACTTATTTTTCATGCACTTGAAGGTTGCCCGAGACGTCGGGCCGTGGCCCTGTGTCTGGAGAACGTATTTGCTGCCTCAGACCCTCCTCGGGACGGAGTTTTGAGGAATACAAGCAGATCGTGTATGGTGATAGGCTCCAGGAAGGGCTGCCACTGCGCATGTGACTCTGTCCCTTGACCTGTCATGACTGTAGCATATATTCAGCATTTCCCTGCTCACTGGAAAATATATCTTGGCAAAACAGGAGAACAGTTTGGGATCTTTCGGGATCTGTATTTTTTTTGGCTGGGGAGACGGGATGATTTCTGGTATTCCCCTCCATTGTCTAAGTCTGGGAATTATCTCTAAATAGAGGAATGCTTCTCTCCTTAGGAATCCCTTCAAGGGATGCGTGTGTATTAAGAATTAAACAAAGGCATTGTTAATGAGATGAATAGCTAAATTTCAGCAAAGAGGTGGCTTTTTGGGAGTTAGAACCATGTCTATTATTGCACATGCTTTTCTGCTCACAAGCAGACGAGATAATGCGGTTGATGAAAAATGTTAAGCTTAAGATAGATATTTATACACACATGTAGTTAAAAATGGTAGGTTGACAAATGAGGGCCTGCAGGCTGCATGCTTTTTACATTTTTAAAAGGGTTGTAAAAAAAAAAAAAGAATATGCGTCAGAGACCATATGGCACACAAGACCTAAAATATTTACTATCTGGCCCTTTATAGAAAATGTTTGCTGACCCTTGAACCATGTGGAAAGCACCAGTAATAGATCTTACTCTTTTTTCACTTTCCCTGAGAAGCACATTGTCTTCTGTCCTTGGTGATATTCATTTCCACTTGTAAAGTCAGTGTTCACAGCCATTCTAAAAAGAGAAGGAGAAACCTTCCAGAGCGGAATCTGTCCCAGGATCTGCCCCCAGCCAGCTCTGCCGAATGGGAGCCGTGCCACCCCCGCCAGTGTTTGTGCTCTTGCTTCTCTCGGCAGACCGCCCCTCGGCCTCAGCGCCATCCACCAGTTTGCTGCGTGCCTTCTTCGACCTTGGCTTTTTGGCCACATGATTATTCCATTCTACTTGCTCTTGTGAATCTGCTCCGTTATATTGCCCTCCTGTTTTTGTTTTTTGTTTTTGTTTTTTCCAGCTTTCGCCTTCTAAGGCCCTTTTTCTGCGATCCGTTTATCTGCCTTCTCCCCCAGTCTCAGCCCCTTAGAGTCAGATGCCTTCCAAATCTAATATTTCTACCCCTTCCTTTTTTTTTAAAAAAATATTTTATTATCTATTTGAGAGAGAGCGAGAGCGAGAGAGAGCATGAGCAGGGGGGAGAGGGAGAAGCAGGCTTCCTGCTGATCAGGACCCTGAGATCATGAACTGAGCTGGAGGCAGATGCTTAACCGACTGAGCTACTCAGGTGCCCCCTACCCCTACCTTTTACGTGTTCCTGACCAAGCCCAGTTTTCTCACTGGTTACAAAGTGGGTCCAGTTCTGCCCCTGCAACAGACTGTAGCCAAGAGAGGACTTCGGGTATCTTTCAGAACCAGACCAGTGGAACCATGTTTGTGAGCAGTATGGCTACTCTTTCTGGGCACTGGTCGCACACACTCTTATTTGTGTTCACTTGGGGTCCACATTCCCTGGTGTAATTTCCTTCCCATGGACCTTCTGGCCTCTTGCCTTCACCTGCGACTGCGACAGTTTCTCATGCCTGCCGCATTGACCAGGCCACTCCAACGGTCCCGGATGCCCGTGGGATCCAGCACACATATCTAACCAGAGCTATCACAGCACTCAAACTTCTGGTACATTCCTTTCTACATTCTAGTCCAGCTTGCCGAATCCTTCCCTCTCCTGCCTGTGACTGGCCCTCTACTCAACACACATTGGTCAAATTTGGACTCCATTCTGGGTACTATATCATAGGCTCTGGGGACCAGGGATGACCAAGATGCAGCCCAGTTCAGTGGAAAGGTGGTATGCACAAACACGAATATAGTGCAAAGCAGCAGGTAGCGATTAACAAAGTTATTAATATCATGACAGCATAGAAAATATTTGGAACTAAACTGTATAACCATAAATATTCCAAACTACCTAATGCGACTATTACTAAATCTAACACATTATCCACTTAAAGAATATTTGATTCTGTTTTTAACCTTCCCTTAAATATATGGTTTAAGGATCAAACTTCTGGTAAATTTTTCTGAGGGATTTACTCCTTCTCTAACTCACAGTCTCATTTGCTGATACATTATCTTGCCTCCAGCCATGTCTGTAAATATTAAAGTTCTACAAATAAATGCAGTCTTTTGATGATAGTGCAAAAGACAACATCCTGCTTTGTAAAAACTCCTGCTCCTTATTTGAAACTGAAATGAGTCCTCATGCTGTTCCTCAAGTGCATGGAATGGGGCTTAAACTGGTGGGTGTTCAGTTGGTTCGGGTTGACACATAGCTTTATCTATTGGAATAGGTTTTGAGACGCACTCAGTTGCAAGAGAGGCCTTTCAAAAAACTACATCTCAGCATCTTTCCCCTTTCATTTCCTTCTTTCTTCTCATTCCTGGTACACCTCCTTTCTCCCAAGCCCTTTTTCAAGATTATATCATTATATCAAATATAAGTTGGGAGAACCTAGCCAGGACATGCTTGTCTTGAGACACCCCCAAGAACACTGACCTACATGTAGGAACTACAGGGAGGTGGGAGTGTTCACCAGCCCGCACCGGTGTGACTCCTGCCATAGTGCACCACACACTTTTTGTTTATTCATTCATGACGTATTTTCTGAGAGCCTTCTCTGTGCCACAAACACTATGCTAGGTGCTAGGGACACAATACTGAGCCAAGGGAACATTATTGTTGCCTTCATTTGGGGGAAGTAGCATCAATTACAAGTTTACATTGATTGGGTGATAGTTAATATCCTAGCTCTGACATAGAGAGGAAGAACTAATATTAGTGTTTAACCCCCTAACAACTTTGTGATCTTTGATCTCTGTATAAGTGTCTGCCTTTCTCCCTCCCTTCTGCTATCTCTGTCCCCCCTCCCTCCCTCTTCCTTCTTTGTTAAGTGGGGGTTGTTGGGGTGGAAAAATTTTCCCATGCACTTCAAAGGTTCCTATGGCCGGTCTAAGAGTTAAATTGACATGAGACAGATTAAAGGAGAAAAATAAATTAAATTTCATACATACAGGAACTCCACATACATGAGAGTTCTAAAGACAGAAAGGTAAAATGAGATATATCTGCTCTCCTGGGCTAAGGAATCGGATGGGTGCTGGGGGCCTCAGAGGGGAGGAGGGCAATTCACAAGGCAATAAAAATAAAAGCAGATATTTGGTAATTAGATGTTTGCACTGCTGTACAGGGGGTCACTCAGAAAAAGTTATCCCTGGTAATAAATCTTATTCCGGGAAAGACCCCCAATTTAAATTCTTCTAGGTAGCTAAGGAAGGGGCAAAATTTTCTCTTGAGCCCACAGGGTTTCCAAAGTAGTCCACATGTCAAAGTGGCACATTTTGGGAAGACCTGTTCTGACCCTTTTGGAGTGGAGAATATGGCTAAAAGCACTAAGCCCTGTCATCACTATGGTGCTTTATACTCGTATTTTTTCTTTTAGTTGTAGAATTCTGGATCCCCCATAGTAGATGTTATAATCTCCATTTTATATACAAATAATGGAGTAAGACAACGTTGTTATTACTCACTGTCACTGGATGGATGAATAAACGAATGCTTGCATTGTGGGAATTTGGGGGCAGAAATATGCCACAGGCCCTGATTTGAAACCAACCATAGGAGTTAGTGGCTGCTAACCTACCTAACTCAGGGACTCTCAATTTACTTTTTTTTTTCTTTTTTTACAGCAGCAAGAGTAAAAGCTCCCCCTTTCTCTGCAGAAGTCAGGACTAGATCTCAAAATTTGAAATGTGTCCTCTCCAGTGCATGCCCACCCACATGGTTGTCAAATGATGGATTTGCCCAAATAGCTGCCATACACTTAGTTTCTAATCTCCGTATTTCTTGCTTCCAGAATTTCTAAGTCTTCCCAAATACACCCGGTCACGTTTTCTGAACTTTTGAGTAAACATCTTCCGGTTTCTTCTTTCCGCAAAGCCCCTAGGCATAGGCACAGGGCACAGAGGCCGGGGTGGAGCGCTCCAGCTCTGGGGATTCCTGCGCAGGAGGTCTGACTCTCCGCGAGGCCGCCCAGCTCAGCGCGCCCTCCAGCCCCCGCCAGCCTGCAACCAGCAAACGTGCCTCGCAGCCCTCGCTTCACCAGCTAGGAGTGAGCTGACTGAGGAGCGGCGCTATTTTTACCACCCTGGCCGCAATCCTTTATATTTATTTGAAGAAAGGAAATAAAGGATTAGGAAGGAAATGCTTCGCCTTACTTTCTCCCGGAGAAGGAGGGGGTTGGAATGGGGGGGGGAGTATGTAAGATTTGGGGTGGTGGAAGAGGCAGGTAGATTTCTCTGGTTGAGTGTTTCCTCCAGATCATCTTTGTCTCTGCCAGGAAACCCCCTCACGCTTCTTTCTTCCCCTCTGGCTAATCTCTGATTGCCAGCCTTGCCCCTCTCCTGCCCCCACCTCTGAAGATGCCACCGTCACCTCTGATGCTGCCTGGGATGCTGCATCACTCTGCTGCTTCCCCCCCCCACCTTTTCCTCCACGATAAAGCATGCGCAGTGCGTCCTGTGCCCGGCAATAGCAACAGCATCAGTATCAGCATCAGCATCAGCCTCAGGACCCGAAGGCGCGCTCGGGCGCGCTCTCGAGGGCGGGGCGCACCCCCGCGCCGCGCGCCCCCGCGCCGCTCGCTCTCACGCGCCGTCTCAGCATCCTCAGCCCCAGCAGCAGCCCCCGCAATTGCTGGAGCGGCCGCGCCCGCCGCAGGGAGGGAGGAGCATCTGGGGAGGCTCCAAGTTGGCGGAGCGACTAGGACCCCCGGACTCTTCAGCGGCCGCCCGGGAGGGGCTGAGAGGCGAGCAGGGGAGGGGGCGCCGCCCAGTCTCTAGTCCCGAGCCGCGAGCCCGGACCCCTGCCCGCGGCCGCACCATGCGCGCCGAGCCGGCGTGATCGGCTCCGCCCGCAGCCTCCCCGCAGCCTAGCCCGGCGCTCTCGCGGGCCACACCGAGCGGCGCCCGGGAGCTATGAGCCATGAAGCCGCCCGGCAGCAGCTCCCGGCGGCCGCCCCTCGCGGGCTACAGCCTTGCCCGAGCCTCTGGCGGCCCCCACGGCCGCCCCGCCGGCCCGGCACCTGCCCGCGCCCTGGCCCGCGCGCCGCCCTGCCGCCTGCTCCTCGTCCTTCTCCTGCTGCCTCCTCTCGCCACCTCGTCCTGGCCCCGCGCCTGGGGGGCTGCTGCACCCAGCGGTGGGTATGGCCCCGGTGCCCTTTGCCTTGCCTTGCCCGCGGGGCCCTGCAGAGGAAAGCGAAGGGCACGCGGGTCCGTGCGCTCCGGACACGTCCCGGGCTCGGCCTTTCCCAGCCACCCTGCCTGCCTCTCTACCTCTGTTTCCCAAGCCCCCGTTCCTTCCAGTTCACTTTTTGAAGTCCATTTCTGTTGCATTCACTAAAAACCCATTCCAATTACTGTCGGTTCCACTGGAAGGTAATTAGTGGATGCAGGGTCCCTCAGCGATCTCTGCAACTTGGCAGAGGGGAAACCAGTGGCCGGTAAATGCAGCGAGGGAGCAAGTTGCTTCTTGGGTGGAGAGCCTGAATGCAAATGCGGGAGGATGTAGTAATAATTAGGGGCAATGTGCTGTTTCCTCAAATCGCCTACTGGGTTTATTCACTGCTGTTGGAATTACGATGGGGGAGGGAAACTTCGGAGGTATAAACCTTTGGTTTGTAATTCTCAAAATGCTCGTCATCATAATGAGCAATTGAGATAATATGATAGTCAATACATGGGTGATTGGAAATCAGTGGAAGCAGAAAGCTGGCCTTGGCAGAAAAATGAAAGCAATTGGAGAGTGGCTAGCTAGCATCTGCTTCCCTCTATGGCAAAGGAGTTTTGCTCATCTCAAAGTTTAAAGCAAAAGGAATTGCCTGTTTTGTTTAATGAATCAATTAATAACCCGAATCCCCATGAATTCAGCACTCAATTTATCTTAGGAGCGAGTCGTTCGTAGCTCTCGGAGGGGATGCTTCTAGTCAGAGTCCCCTGGAGCTCCTGTAGACTCCAGAGCAGGGGTGGACATGAGGGTCAGAACAGAACCTCTGAGCATGTTCATTTAATGTCTTCCTTCAAGTCCGTGCCGCGTCCCATCCCCGCTCCCCATACTCAGAAGTATAGATTTGAGATTGGTTAGAAATGTACACATAAAACACAAATAGGAAGAAATAGTACATTGTTGTATAAGGCTCATTGGCTGTTAAACTATCCAGGCCATTTCACTGTTTTGTTAACTTGCTTTGCTGTGTCTCTACTTCTTCTTTTTTTTATTTTTATTTATCATTATTATTTTTATTACTTAGGGCATACGATGGTACCTAAATGGGCAGTGTTTAACAAAGGATAACATTTTACATATTTTTTTATTATTATGTTATGTGTCTACTTCTTACCTGCTTAGACATAGAAAACTTTGTTTTTGCAATTAATGGAAAAACACATCGTAGTACTTATGTGTTTATACGGTATATGTGTGTATTTGTGTATCTTTGTGCACCCCCTCTCCCCCCCAGCTCCGCACTGGAATGAAACTGCAGAAAAAAATTCGGGAGTCCTGGCAGATGAAGACAACACATTGCAACGGAATAGCAGCAGTAAAATCAGTTACAGCAATGCAATGCAGAAAGAACTCACGCTGCCTTCAAGACTCATATATTACATCAACCAGGACTCAGAAAGCCCTTATCATGTTCTTGACACAAAGGCAAGACACCAGCAAAAACATAACAAGGTAGGCATGGGTCTGGGCATGCAAAAGTAGCTGCCATGAAGAGTTTTCCTTTGATTTGATTTTCTGCCAGAATCTGATGTCACAAATTTTACTGCAGCACTTTATTAGTAAATCAATTAATATTATGATAGGGGAGAAACTGGAGGAAGTAAACCTGGGATCTCTTGAGATTGGATTGCTGTGCGTTTTTTTTCTCTCTGACTCTAATGTGGAACTTGAATTTTCTTATGGCTTTTTAAACTCGTAGCTGGAATGTGGTCCAGGTATCTTTCAGGTGCATTGGGCACTGAACAGGCATTGAGTATGTTTATAGTCCTGACTTATATCTGTGAGGCTTTATATAAGGGTGCAGTGTTCTACCTCTCATGATGAAAACTGCTTCCAGGCTGCACACACAAGATAGCTGTAACAGCCTATTTGTCTGCAGTTTGCCTATCAGTTCTTCACTTAGAAATTGAGTGTTTAGGGGCGCCTGGGTGGCTCTGTCGTTAAGCGTCTGCCTTCGGCTCAGGTCATGATCCCAGGGTCCTGGGATCGAGCCCCGCATTGGGCTCCCTGCTCTGCGGGAAGCCTGCTTCTCCCTCTCCCACTCCCCCTGCTTGTGTTCCCTCTCTTGCTGTGTCTCTCTCTGTCAAATAAATAAAATCTTTTAAAAAAAAGAGAAAGAAATTGAGTGTTTAAATTTAATTTTAAATTTCTTTAATTGATCACTAGGAAATAGTACTTTTTTTTTCCTGATGTGTTTTCAGTAGGCAAACAATTTGACATTTTAAAAGATTATGGCAAATATAAACAGTTTATATAATGTAGAGACCAGTTTGGGCCAGCATAGTCTTTCAAGACTTTATCTGCATTCATTGTGAGTGGTTGCTTTACTTTCAAGCTGGTTCAGAAAGTGCCACTGATTTTTAACAAGGCATTCAACAGAAGATGAAGGGGCTTAATGTTCAAAGAGTTTGAAGGATCTTTTTTTCTTGCTTACTGTTCTTTATTTGAGTTAGTAATATTTTGGACACCAAGCAGATTTACACAATGGGTCAGTCATCAGTGCCTCTGTTCTCTATCAGGAGCAGAGAATAGAGTCTGTATGTCAAGTATTTTACTCTGGACTATACCTGTCCAATGGAGAAAAGTAGTAACTGTCTAATATCTAGAATTTCAGAAAAATATCTGTGATTTATATCGTTGTTTTTATTAGTTTTCTAAAATGTAGGTAAGTTGTAATGGTATTTACTCCCATTTTACAAACAGGGAGTTAAAAATTTAAGGGTTTTGGGTGTCTTTCCCAAGATTGTAAAACAGCTAATATGAACTTCAAGAAGCCTGAGCATTTCATTTTTATTATTTTTTTACAAGTCAGGTTTCTGAGAAAATGCTTCCTTTGTATTGACTATTATTGGAGCAGTATTATGAAGTGGCTGTACCCACCTATGACATCTGCTCCGACGTAACTTCATGGGTTGACTCCGGGATCCTGTCTGCCCATTTGACTTGTTGATAGGAGGAGTGGGTGGTGATTTTAAGGAAGAAGACTCCAAGACCCTCTTGATAAATGAATTGGGGCCCATTTTATGACTTTCTTAATTAAAGAGATCTTCTATGGTTGAATGGCAGGTTCTCAAACTCCAGTGCCTTTGCATAAGGTGCTGGAGGAACAAAAAACCAAACTGAACCAAACCAAAAACTGCCTTAAAGCCCACTTCAAAGAATGCTCAAGCCCTCCTGAGCTGAGACTTAAAAAAAAAAAAAAAAATCTCAGTGGAATATTTTTATAACTCAAGTTTTGTAGGCAATGGCTGATGCCTGTCTTCTGGCCAAATGTTATGTTGGGCTTTGTTGGGGGCGACATGGTTTGACTACTCTATATCTTAATTTTTATGATAATAAGGTTTGCTAAACTTTCTCCTGCCACTGATATAGATTTCTCACTATGGAACACATACTTGCAGTTGAAATGATTCTTCTCCATTTCCACCCTCCATGGGCTGGGGGGTGGGGGTGGGGCGCTCTTCTTTTATCTTAGAAAAAAAATGCTTACACGGAAATTATATTTGAGACCATTTTTCTCCTTTTCTTATGAGTTTAATTGAACCAACAATTGTTGCACATTTCTCTTGTGCAAAGGAGTAGGCTAAAGATTCAGAGATAAGAGATAAGGGGTACAAGGATGAACAAGACATGGTCTGTCCTCCAGGAGACACAAAAATGAGATAAGCAAGATTCTAAAAGGTGCCCCCACACAAGTATAAACAGTGGCTTGTATCGTGGATGCCCTGAAATTTCCCTTTGTGTTCTGTGATTTCCCTTTTATTTCTGTTTTTAAGCCTCTCTTGAACTAGTTGACAAAAAGTATGCCATGTTTTCTGCTGTATCTTAGGATGACTTGCCTAATAATAGTGATGAGAGATACTTGTCAGTTTAGCTGCTTTACAAATGTTTCAGTAAGAGAGAATCTATAGAATTTCATCATTTTTGCTTTTATAAAAGAAGTTTTGATTTTAATATCTGTGTATTAGGTACCTTTTTTCCTCTCCTGATTTCATTGCACTCAAGCACATTTTAATGAATGCCTTAGAAATGCTGAATCACTGCCATTCTCATGGATCCTTAGGCTGGGGGTAGAGGTGGAGAGGGGAGTTCCCAGATATAGGTTGCCAGGCAGGGCTTTGTATTTATTTCATAGATATTCAGTGTTGATCAGTCCTTATTACTTTACAACTGTGGAAGTGAAAATGTTATTAACTCTTTCAAAATTTGTGACTTAAAAACCAATTGTGCAGAGCACCTCTGTAATACCAGTGTTTCTGAAAACCGGAAAGTTCTCTTTGTCAAAGATTGTCTAGAAACCTTTTTGTCTCCAATTAGGGTGATGTATAACTTATTGTCCAAACTGCCATTTTTGAGAGTGACAGTGAGCATGCTTAATAATCATGCTAGGATAATAGGCATAAACCAAGATTCTGGTCCAGAGCAGATGGAACATGTGGTCACCTCGGATCTAAATGGTTATGTTCCTTGAGTTTTGGTGCTTACCCCAATTCAAGTTTCTTCGTAGATAGTTTTATTTTCTGATGAATTATTTCATCAGAAAATAAATCAGAAATTTTTTCTTACTTGCTAGGAAGTCAGTTTACTACCTTGTAGACGTATCAGGACATGAAATGGAAAAATTTAGTTTTGCATTGTTACCAAGACTTGTCCTTTATATGTGTAGAGATTTTTACAAGCAAAAAGGGAAATTTATGATGAACATATTTATGAACATAAGCATTTTTGAACCACTAATGCAATATATTAATGAAATGGGCCATACATTTAAAAAAAGGGAGAAACAATTTAGATTTATTCATTTATTCATTCACTCATTCGTTCATCCATTCTGAGATAATCCTATGAGGTCTGTTTCTAAGAAAGTTAATGAACCTGTAGGGGAGGAAAAATAATTTTCCCTCTACCCTTCTAAATTCTTGGCTGAACCACACCGTGCAATAAAAGACAGATTAAGCACGTACTGAATGGACCACTGGGTGTTATACGCAAACAATGAATCATGGAACACTACATCAAAAACTAATGATGTAATGTATGGTGATTAACATAACAAAATAAAAACAAATAAAAGACAGATTAACAGGAGGAAAACAAACAGAAGTTTTGTAACATGTATATCTCCTGTGTATGTGGGAAAGACCCAGGAAAACTGAGTATCTCTCCAGAATGGCCCAAGTCACTATTTTAGATAACATTTCCAGCTAAAGACAAAAGAAGATGTTGGGGTGAGAGGTGGGGACACAGTTGTGGGAGACTGTCAGGAAAAGCACAGTAAACAATGGTAAAGTAAGTCTGCCTTCTCCACTGATGAGAGTTCTTAGAGATTTAGAATCATTGTCTTCTTGATACAGAGAGAGAAAGAGAGAGAGAGAGAGACCCTTACAAATGGAGATTGCCTATAAAATGTAAATGACTCTTACAGAAGGACTTCTACTCCCATTTTCAGAACTTCTCCTGTGTCTGCTGTTTCTTAGAAATAATCAGCCTAAAATAATCCCTATGCCAAAGAAGCATATTTTAGGATGGTATATTCTCTCCCCCCTCAAACCTTTTCCTGAAACTTTCCTTTAGTCAAAGATTACTTGCTTTGCATCATGCTCCCTTAAGATTCTTTTCTCTTCCTATCGGGAAGGGTTGGAAGAGGTACACTATGCATAGCACAGGGTCTAGGAAAGACGAAAGTCATCTCCTTTGACTTTGGTTGGCCTGCACACAGACCTACCCCACTGTGGTGGGGAGCTAGAGCTGGTGTATGAATATGCAGATTATGACCTACGGAATGGGAGGGCACAAGCCATCCCCATAGGGATTGGCAAGTAGCTCCCGTAGCACCTGAGTGGTTCTCTATCCCAGGTCATGGATGAGCAGGAGATAGAGAGCAAAGTAGCAAGCACCTACTACTTATGAAGTGGTTGAGGCCAAGTTTACTAACTTTTCGAGGACTTACCTCCTAAGTGGCTATTTTAAAGATATTTATTTATTTATTTAAAGATATTTATTTATTTTAGAGAGACAAAGCGAGTGAGCGTGGGGGGCAGAGGGAGAGGGAGAGAGAATCTCAAGCAGACTTCCTGTTGAGCATGGAGCCGACATGGAGCTCGATCTCATGACCCTGAGATCATGACCTGAGCCGAAACCAAGAGTTAGATGCCCAACTGACTGAGCCACTGAGGCGCCCCTAATGATTTTTATTTTTAAGTAATCTCTACACCCAATGTGGGGCTCGAACTCATAACCCCAAGATCAAGAGTCATATGCTCCACCGACTGAGCCAGCCAGGCACCTCCTAAGTGGTTATTTTAAAAGGTGCTCTGGGAAAAGCAAAGCAAGAACTTAGCATGGGAATCCTAAACTCAAGGTCTCATCTAATGTTCAGACTCTGGGTGTGAGTGGGCTTATCATGCTGTAAAATGCCTAAGCAGCAACTCAGAAACAACAAAAAAAGTTGT